GGGAGGGGTGGTGGAGGCCTTAGGATCAACTTCCATGATCAGGTCCCACCGATGGGTGAGCCAGGACTTGCCAGGGATACGGTGCAGAGCAATTTCCTTGACCTTACCAAACTGCTCCCAGTGGCGGCACAGCACAGTCTCCAAGGTGATTGCTGAAGCAATAGGTACATTAGCTAACTTTACGAGGATAAATTGAGGTGAGTCAGCTGTGGATGGGAGAGGTGTTAGAGCAGTGTGGTTTACAATCTGGAGGGGTTGGGCAAGGAGTTTGCTCTGTTCCTCCTGGGTTTGGACATCCACCTCCAGGATGTTCATATCTGCCCTCCAGTGAACCCCAAGGATTCCCGGAGGCAGCACAGCAGCAATCTCTTCATGAGATGCTTGGGTGGAAGCTAGGTTGAAAAAGATGGGGTATTTGCCTGAGGGGGCAGGAGTCTTTACAGCAGGAAGATATTTTGAAAGGGAAACTGAACACTCTGAACGGGCGAACAGTAGGTTTTTATTATCTATATCTGTAGGAGCAGTAGAAGACTGCTCAACTACTTTGGCCCATGTTTGAGCAGGGCTAGACATAGTGAGAGAAAAGTGTTAGGCGCCTTTAGTTGTTTACTTAGCAGTTAGTAAATTAGTAACTATGGAGATGGGTGTGTGGGATGGGATAATAATAAAGCAGTCAAAGGGGCCTGTATCAATAGCTCCTTGAAACATTACATTATTCAATATTAGTATTATTATATCATAATATATCCCAGGCTTCTTAGCCAAGCTCTTTATTGTACCTCTGTATGCCTAGCATGTATGTTAAAACTAGCTCTAGTGGGTAACCATAGTTAGACAATATACATTATCGACATGTCCCCGATGTTGAATATGAATAATGTTTATACAAATTTCAAGTAAATCCAACTGCTAGTTGTTGAACTGTCAGCTAATTAATAATTCTCATTACCTTTGCACAGCACTGTATATATCGTAGTTGCATTACTAAGTATCTGTAACAACATATTTGTCATAATAGCTGACAAGAACTTTGTTTACAAAAGAGTCTGAGATAGTAATAGTAAGACAGTACACGAGCAAAATATATACGTTTTCATGTACATCCACAAGAGAACGCAGTCGGAACAGCTCATATTATGTTCTATCCATAAGAGTGCTGTTTTATAAAGTTTATTCATTTACGAAAGTCAGATTTGTCCCATGATAAAATGTTTGTTATGAGATGTTATCTTTTATAGAGGGTTGGGTAAGTTCAATCGTATTACACAGTGAGCCGTTCGTCCGTTTTCAGTTTAATGCGGTCCTTGGTTTAACAAAAATTAATAGACTTTATTGTACCGTATGCTGCTAGCCTTACTCTACTACTACGTGTACATTGTTATCATATCAATTATAATCTTATTTTCAAAAAAAATTAACATACGATACGAAGGAGAATTTTTAAAAAATCATATACTTGAAAAGATGTGCATATAATTGTTGTAAAGTCCGGCTCTGACATCTTGGAAGACCCGCCGATAATTTCTTCTATAAAATAAACCGGTCTAGATGTTTTACCACAGGTAATTTCAACAACTCTTCGACCGGGCATCGATAACGGAAACGGTGGATTTGCGGTCAGCCTCGCTAAGGTAATTATCGATAAAATTCACGAATTGTTATGTGTGTCTCTCTGACGGAATATTTCCGAGTACTTCATGATGTATCCAATTGTCGACAAGAATCCTTGACTTGAAGACAAACTTCAATATCACTAATTCCTATAATAGAAAACAAAAGTATTATAAACAACTTCAACAAAAAACACAAGCCGATGGATACACGAGCTCCTGTTTCTCGCTCAGCCGTACACATTCGCAGACTCACCTTTTCTGAACTTGACAACCCCATAAGCACCTTCTCCCAAGATGCGTAGGATCTTATAGTTTTTGCACGAGTAAAGACCGAATACAATCGAGGATCAAAAGATTCTCAGCGGCCAGGAATTTCGACATGAAAACTTTCATCACCAATCGCTATTGCTCTGCTCATCGTCTACAGTTTCCTCTGTTTGCATTGCCTCTTCGGCTTTGTCTCGTCATCTTTCTTTGAGTCGGCTATGGTAGGTCGAGTTTTGTCATTTTCGTTTGGGCCCGCATCCAGGCTTCTGCCGTATGATTTCCATAATGCACGCAACGGCTCGTTAACATATTCGACTACTCGCATCGTATATCAACATTAAATTCGGTCCCATCTCTATGCACCGCAGTAATGCCAGACGGTCCGTGGGGAGACATGGAAATTTTCGTGCTCAATACGTGATCAGAATACGTCAACTTGAGCAAGTTGTCGATTAGGTTGTGCTCTGATTTCAAAATATCGTTCAACCCGGAATTGTGATAACAAAGACCGTATATTCTTCTTTCCGATCGATGCTTGTCCACTTGTCCCAAACAAATATTCTGCCAGGTCCGTACTACAAGCCCGAATAATCCCCGACGAATAAGCAGAAACAACCCCAACAATAGGTGAGATGAAACTGATATACGTCAACTGTATCTGATTCCCAGTTCATTCGCGGTCTCGTTCTTGCGCATAATCTTCCATCTTCCTCTGAGAAACAGAGTAGCTGCTGTCCGTGAATACAGAGATTTCGTGTTTAGGTATTAGCTGTTGTATCGGTTCCTTCCAATTCTTCAGCGGAAAAACTGTAAAGAGCCTTTAGGTCACCAGATGCTTTGGGAATAATTCCCTAAGTAAAGCACTACATCGGTTAAACCAACAGGATTGGAGAAAACGCGATAGAGGGTCAAGGAAATTCTGCAGACAAACCTCTTGATTGATTTCGACATCCATTGTCGATTCAACAATTTCTTGAAATACCCAAACGAATATAGAATAGCTGCAATCGTCCTTTTTTCCCTTTGAGCCATAAAAAGCAGCCGACGCCTCATGATTTTTTTTTTGTATCGATACTTATAAAGAGATTATGTGGCAAAGTTTTTTTTGCCCCTTGTACTTGCATTAACTTCTTATAAACACGGGTTAGTGGAAGTTTTGGAGGAGATAGTGTTGTGAAGCGACGCATGCACGAAGCAAACTGTACGTGCTGTAATATTGAGTAGAGGTAAAGGAATGTTTTGTCGTATTAACACTCCGGAGATAGTATACGGCTCGGAATTACTGCGGTTGATAAATACCCTATCGATAATGGGAACGGCGGGTTTGCTGTAATATGGGAAATGGTTTGTCGTATTAACACTCGGAGTGAAGCGACGCATGCGTAATGGAGAGAGCGGCTGTTGTTAGAGTCGTGAGTTGTAACAAACTGTCATATGTGCGTCATATGGAGTAGAGGTAAACACTTCGGAGATAATGTTGCAACGTGGAGCAGCAGACACGCCGACTACCGTACTACTCAATCTCAATACCGCAGTAATCATCAACTGAATAACGATCACGTGGAACAACGCGTTTAATATTAACTCTTTTCCTTCTTACTCGATCTTAAGCATTCTGCGATCGAGAGACAGAATATGAGATAGAAGATAATATATCCAATTGAGAAATCAACTCCATCGGTTACTATTGAGTATTATTACACATGCTAATCGTACATGTATATCTCGGATCATGTATAATCCTTGGTAGTTCCTTTTCTCAAACGGCAAATGGCGCGATACATTCATATCCTCTATTTATGAAAATTAGGCAATTTTGACAGACTGACTTCGTATACTACTCTTGAAGCTAGAATTCATTTTCAAGGCGGTAATTCAGGAAGTAAAAAGACAGAAAGGAAGACGATTATTTGAAAGAATTCATCAACATTTCTGACAATGAGGCTGCTGTATTGGTGATAGCAGCAATATATTACCAGAGAATGCCATAAATCCCGGAAGTATGCAGAACAAATGTTGTCAATCCGCTTTCAATCGCCGTTATTAGCATCCTTTCAAGTGCCGTTATTATTATAATCTTCTCTCCGCCGTGCCACAACACACTTCTATTTATTGCACGAAAGTATTAACACGACAAGCTTCTTCACCTCAATAATATCATGTCAACTGACAAAATGCATCATCACCCAAAGCCTAGTATCAGTTGCAATCCACACTTGCATATCGACATCATCAGCCCTCGTGCGCACTGGATTTAATGATCACAAACGCAGAGACTCTATATCGAGATATGGTGATGGAAATGGAACAAGCAAATAAAGTATTTTCTGATATTGCTCGAACACCTTTCGTCCACCTTTTCAATAGCAGCTTTATGTTCACATCAATATTCTGACAAGTTGCTTTGACTAGCGATGGAAAAATGGCGCGAAGTATCTAGTCAAGACAAATTTGAGAGCAAAGTTCTTGTCATCGTTGAACGATTAAACATGTAATGAATTTGACAATTACTTTTCCCGAACTTGCACATTTCTTTTTCTACTGGAAAAATATTTTATATGAAATTGGAATCGAAAAATACTGTTTTCGCGTTCGTCATGACGAGATGTAATAATGTGAATAAGACAACATACAAACATGCGTATTTCATCACTATCAGTATTTATCTTTCACTCAACGATTTGGTTTCCATCCTTCAGCACAGTGACGGTATCCGAAAATTCAAGCTTTAGCAAACGCGGAATTCCTCAACCGACCGAGACATACTATCACGGGCGTCTATCTCTTCAAACACGAAACAAGTTGTTGATTGAAATAATTAGTTGGGAGAGTACTCGATTTTGGCAACCTTTAGGAAACGATCGATACGATCAACAAGAAAGGATTAATTAATACCTTCATGAAGCATACTGCCGTTTTTTAAATGCGCCAGCAAAGCAAGCGTCAAGATTGTTAATGGTGGTGGAGAATGATAGGTAACACCGAGGAACAGTGATCGAACATATAAATGCTGATAGCTTGGCAATGACCTGCCTCAACCTTATAATCTGTATCCAAATCATATTGACTTTACCTCACGAATCGATCTGGGTGTTATCTACCCACGATAATGAATCTTCATAAGCTGCCAATGTAATGCGTAACAGTCGTTGAGATACAATTGGAAGGTGAGCGCAGGTATCTTTTTGATGCTCGAGTCCGGTCATTCCTTTATCATCTGTTTCCGACGATATGTGTTCCTTGGTGAAAAGCTATGCAGTGACGAAATTTTCCAAATATTTAAAGCGGTGTGACGATTTACCGCACGTGCCGACATTTTTCACACGGGCAAACATTTTCACACGCGCAGATCAACTATCTGCTACTTAAAATTCCTACTACATACCGTAGAATCAATCACGAAGACCAAACCCCCCCCTCAACAAAGCAAACGAACTCTAACGTTAAATGCATCAGCCAGCATACGCGACACTCTGTTGGATCGCCTTCCCTCCATTGATTTCTTTTGCTAATGCCGCCTTTTGGTCACCCTTTTCCATCTATACTCAAATTCAAGCCCAGTTATATTAGATTACTTTTGCCAGGCTGATCATAAGGTGAGCATATATTGAGAACGTAACTAGCATGCAGTGCTCTTCTTCTGGTAAGCGTCGAGTCATAGATTGAATCGACTTATCTTGGGAATTGTTATTGGAGATTAGAATCGTGCTTACGGAAAAATCGAGTATGCTAATAGGAATCAGAAATAGTCACAACTGCACATTATCGCCAGAGTCAACGGGAAAGCAAGATGCAAGCGCTCGATGAACAAAAAGCCGTATTCTACTCAATGTGCTACATTATTCAGATACAAGGTAATGAGAGAAGTGAAGGTATTCAAGATTAGAATGGAGGCGGTGTAAAACGACATATGCGCTTAGAAGGCACGGATCAAGAAAGGATATGTATTAAATTTGCCTACGTTATTAAAGGCATGGCCAGGTTCTTTTATGGACAAATTCGGTTTACCTTCTCAGAGAAAAATATGGAATCGAAGAGAGAATTAGGTGCATAAATCCAAGTTCCGGCATATCAGAAACATTTGCAAGTAAGATACACTAACTTACATTTAAGTCAATAACACATCTGGTTCACTCAAATGTCGTTCTAATAATTATTCTACAACACGTAGAACTACGAAGCGATTGAGAAAGGCCAATAGAGTTGCGGTGGCAGTGACCGAAACGGGAGTTATGAGGCTAAAGACGCGAGGTGAAATTTACATAATCACTGGAGCGTCTGCGTTACACATCGATCAATAATTTGTATTTCTGCTCAGTTACTAGGACGTGTTGCCCAGAGATCAATATTAATCTGGCGCATGCCTGCAGGATGATATTGTATTAAGATTATAATTGGTATTTGATAACCAGTTGATGTTAAATATTAATTATTATTGTTGGATTATTATTAATTACCATCATTATATTTTATGTTGAACGTATAGTATATTCACTCACACAATCCCCGAGAGTATAATGTTATGTCGAAAGTTGTGCCCATCTGGCCTCGTATTTTCCAACCGTAAGGTGAAATGTTTACGGGTGTTTTTATACAGTACTACTATATGGTGTTTTGCTCATACGTCGTCATTAGTAATGATGACCGACTATCTCAAATTATAGTGCCCGTGGTATTATTATTATGTCAATAACACTATTATTGCGATCGTCATATAATTATGTATAATAGTTTTGTAGAGGAAGAAACTTGCAATATTGAGCTTGGCTATTATTATGATATTTCAGGAAATGGATTTCGAACTATCATTCTTATACAACCGCGAATCGAGTCTGAATAGAAGTTATCTGTGAAGAGTCAAAGTCAAACTGCAACAATGGTAGTAATTGATTACGAGAAAACAAAAGTTATCATAAAGACAATGATCAAATCGACGGTAAAGCAGTTGAAGAAGTGAACGATACTCTCAATGACAATCGTTGAAGGACAACCAAAAGAAGAGGTACATGTAGACGGCAATTAAGTGAAACAATAAAAAGTGACAGGTCAACGTCATTAAAGATAATCTCGCAAATGAAACCATAAGTCGGACGAATTGTTAATATTAATCGAGGACGCCGTGACAAAAACAAGTTGCACCCAAGCCTTTGAGAATAAACAGTTAAGCGAGGCTATTACTATTAATAATGATAAGTCGACATATCCAGAAACGATAAAAAGTCAAGCGTAATGATTGACGACGACGAGTTGTTTGAGGCTATCAATAACTTTGGGCGGAAAAACGACAAAACGAAGAGTCTCATTACCGAGACTTTATCGGAGAATACTCGAATCCAACCAGCTCGCCAACCCGCTGTACCCATTACCTCTCCATGATTACTCGAATTAACGGACAAAAAAACCCGTTGAGCCGGTGGGGCGTCGTTTAAAATCCTGACCGACATTACAACGGTATGCAGCGGAACTATTGGAAAATAATAATAATTTATTATGCGTGAGCGGAGCTTTACGAATGTCAACTGTAGGCTACCATGTAAAAATAGTATCATCATTCCCTCGTCATTGCTTTTCTATTGCAACTGTTGTTCTCGGCTCCTATATGTTTAATGTTAATAAAATTCGGTTTGTAATACTAAGCAACATTTATCCAAAGTCTCAGATTTAGATTATATAACCAGTTGTTTAAGACTGTTGGCTTACTCGACAATCGGCAATCAGTTTTTCGCCCATGTCCAAAAAATAATAATGGCACCGATAAAATATAGCACATCAGAAGATGGTTCATTCACTCCCGGGAAGTTTTGTTTATTTTTTTGATTCGATCTCGTCATTTATCCCAGTCTGAAGTTTGTTTTTTTTTTGAAGTTGCTTGGGGCAACAATTGGCTTTTTTGATAAAACTACGGGTGCAACTAGCGATTGTTTTGGTAATATTAACGCGTTAAACCACCCAAGAATATCAAATTGCCAATTTTACAAAGTCGCGCTTCTCCTTCGTGTCCTTTACCTCTATCAATAACAATGGCACATTTCAAAAACTACAATGCTGCCGCGTGTTTACGCATTGTCCAATGAAAATGTATGCATAACTGGAGAACGTATAAAATTTTGTGTAATACAAAGATAGCCACATTTAACTAAATGTAAGTGTCTCTTCAAATAAAATTAGCAGCGTGCGTCACTTTAGATGCTGGCCTGCATGAATTAGCGTGCGTTGACCTGTACTGCGATTGGACATTAAAGTAAGATTTCAACTCTGCAACAATAACAGCTCCTCACCTAAACAAATGATTTGGTTATAATTATTTTAAATGTGATTTGAATATTTGATAGAATTTTGCCTGCTTCGTTATTATGTCTGACCATGTGATCATAAGCGTAGAGTTTAGCTCACGTCTGAAATAAAATAAAACGTATACAAACACAAAACCAGCATGCACTTAACTTGTTTGCAGAAGACGTATAGTTATTAAAGATGTTCGTAATTGTTTGTTTTTGAGGTTGAGATTGGTGCGAGTTAAAAACCAAAATAATAATAATCGTGTAAGACTTTAAACACAAAGTAATAATGAGCAGTTCGACATATTGGACAATCTGACACGTGCAACCGCATGTCACTCAAACAATGCGGATAGCTTATTTGGGAAGATTCCATTCGAAACAATTGTTATGGTGCACCAACTCTATACTCGACAATGTTTCAATTTCGGAGATGCAGTGTAACGAAAAAACTGTCCAATAAAAT